GCAGGCTGGGCTAGCGGCGCTAGCCGCATGCAAGGGCAGCGCGGGAGGAGGCTGAATTCCTGTGAGCACAAAGCATGGGAGATGTGGCTGTTAACCAGCAGATTTTGGACAGGATAGAGCTTGCCAAAAGAGAGCTTCTCAGAGCACAGGAAGTCCCTTTCCCCTTCAGCCCATCCTGAACTCGCCCAAAGGGGTTGTACAGCACTAATACATGAGTCCAGAACAGATTTTCTTGCTAGTGGAGCAGTTGCAAGGCTGAGGAGGGAAGACTTTCACCGTGGCTTTTCCCCTCTGAACTAATCCTTTTGGAAGGAACCCAAAGGGGTTGTACAGCACTAATGCATGAGTCCAGGACAGATTTTCTTCCTAGTGGAGCAGTTGCTAAGGCTGAGGAGGGAAGACTTTCACCATGGCTTTTCCCCCTCTGAACTAATCCTTTTGGAAGGAGGCAGTAATTTCAGGACAGGGTCTCCATCCGGAAGGAATGAAGAAGCTGAAAATGAGCCTGTCACCCTCTGGTAGCTTCCAGACTGTCCTGTCCTTGCTGCAAAAGCCCTGCTATGTCCTGCCCTGTTAGCAGAGGTGTCCTGCAGCCCATGGCATTTCTCCCATATGATTTTCATGTCAAGCAGCGGCTTCCAGGCTCCCAACTACCTGGGGTCTTGGGCTTCATCTGCCTGTAACACGGCCAGGAGCAAAGCTTTGCAAGGGCCGTGAGCTCTGGGGTCAGCAGCTGAGAGGGGATCCGGTTGCTGCTAAGCTGATTCTTCACTGCTAGCACCAGTTTGCTGTCTGCCTTTGGTTATATCTTTATTGTACCTGAAGTCTCTAAGCTGGAAAACACTGAGCCCGTCTGTTAGCTTCATTGTGTTTTCACTCAAGGAAGGTGGCAGTGCAGTGAACTGAGCAAATGGGAAAGAAACCCGCAGGGCTCAGTGGGGATTGCTGGGTTTGGATCCTGTTAAGCACCGATACAAAAATCTACCTGGATCGGGATCAGACTAAGTCTTTTACACAGTGGCTTCTGCCAGGCCAGGAGTGCTGCAGGGCCTCAGGTGGATTCCTCTGACCTTGGGGTCCCTTCTGAACCATTCAGCAACCTTCCATGGCTAGGGGCCATTGGCAGGCTTTTTTTTTTTCCCTACTATCCCCTTATTTTCTTGTCTGTTCCATATTCGTGTTGTTTGTTTCTTTAAGATGGCTTTGTGGATTTTTTTTTTTTTTGGACTCGCTTTGTTGCTGCCTTATTCCCCCTTCCCTAAGCCCTTCCTACGGCATCAGCACCTTTTCCTTGCAGGCCGGAGAGGTGGTGGGAGGTGGCAGGGCTGCTGCCAGGTAAGATGCTCGGCGGGCGAGCTGAGCTCGGTCGTGCACCTTCCTCCCTCCGCGCTCCTCTTCCTCTCCCCATCTCCACGCTCTCCTGCAAGCCGCCCGCGTTGCCGTTCTGCTGTGACCCAGGTTTGCCACCTTTATGTTGCAGGATTGAGCTGACCTCTGATCTCACATCTCTGTAGCAAGTACCTTAGGTCCTCGGCCACAAACATTCTTGCAAATCTTTTTGGTAAGGACACGGCGTTTCTTAGAAGTAGTGGTACCACCGATAACACCTGCTAATGTGTCTTTTGCTTTCTGGTTTCTTTTCCTGGGGGAGGGCTTGTTTCTGAGCTGCCGTTGCCCACCTGTCCCATCTCCTTCACAACCTCCCTCCCTCCTCATAACAGATTAATGAATCTGCTCCCCTCCATCTCCCCTTCCACGAGCACTCCGAAAGGCCGGGGGGGACAGGGGCTCGCACGTTTGTACGCTCACCCCTGCCTGAAGTTAGACATTGCCAAGACCGTTTCGATTCCCTGATTTGGAAAACTGGGGCCATGGAGTGAGCTGATAGGAGTGAGTCCTCCTGACAGGAGTAGCCTAAGCCCAGAGACAGGCTTTGTGTTTGCTCCTGGCCTGGCACTGTCAGCCCTCCAGCGTTCCCTTGGATCAGCAGTTGGTAGTTGTTGGAAACAACATCCCCAAACATTCAAGGGAGCCCTCCAGCTCCTCTGGAGGCTCCCTCTGATCGTGCTTGTCATCACTAGTCTGTGGCTCTTAATCTGGAGACTACTGATTTTGGAAGTGCTACTGATTGATTTACTTGCTTTTTCCGGGAAGGTCGATAGGACTTGAGACAGGAGTGGGCAGGCAGGAGGATGACATTCAGCTCTAATCCACATCACTACAAACGTTGTGGTTGTCTTGGCTACCAGTTGTTGAGAGTTTGTGGCTTCCAACTGGTGCTAAATCTGGCTTAAAAGGGGGAGGAATGTGACCTTCACCGAGTGATGCAACTTCCTGCCTCTGGTTATTTGAGTCTTAAAAAATAGAGGGACTTTCAGGCAGGGAGAAGGGCAGGAACTGTATCTGGCCAGTGTATCAGCTTGGGTGGTGGCTAAGCTGATCACACCTGGTAGATCACTAGTAGTTTTAGAACAGACCACGTAGTGTTTGCTCCCTTGGGGGAGAAAAATAGCCTGGGCAGGAAGGGGAAGAGTGCAGGGGAAGGATGCAGCCTTTAGCCAAGCCAGCACGGCAGCTCTCCCAAATCCCGTGCTCTGCACCGGGGGCTTTTGGCCATCCATTGCCAGCTGCAGAGCAGCACCTGGGGCTGGCCAGCGTGACGGGGAGCCCCACAGCTCGTCCTGGCTGCCCCGGAGGAGGTGGGCGGACGCGGGGCGCAGTCGGTAGCGGCTGGGCCCCGCGCGACGCGGCGCTGCCTGGGCGGACGAGCTGCAGGGGCTGCAGGACCTGGCTCGCGCGGAGGGGTTGAGGCGGCCTCTGCCAGCTGCTTTTCAAGCCTCCCTCAAGATCTGAAAGTGGTCGGTGGTTTGTTTGTTTTAATTAGGAGGGGAAAGGATTAGGACTTTCTCGAGTCAAGGCAACTGCAACAAGGCTGCACTTTTACTAACGAGAAAGCAACTGAGAAGTGATTCCCTCGGGCCTTTGCTTTCAGATCTTTCTTTCCGTGGAGCAGAGTGGGTCCTGGCCGAGTCTTGCTCGGCCCTGGTGGTGCCAAGGGGTCGAGCTGCCTGTGGTCTGTGCTCACCACGTTCCCCAGGTGTGTTGCCAGCAGAAAGGAGAGATGATGCTGTGTGACAGCCTCTGGAAAGGTCTCTCCTCTCTGTCCTCTCTCATTTCTGTGGTTCAGGAAGAGGTAGGGGCGGAAAGCCAGGAGGAGCCCTGTGGGCAGGAGATGGGGGTGAGTCTCTGCAGCGAGAGAAGGGCCCTCCGCTGTGTTTCTTGGACGTTCACCTTCCCTGGGCACCACGAAGCTGCCAAGATGCTTCTCGTTCCTGCGTGGGCTGCAGCACTAGGCAGGGGGTAATGTTTGCTGCATGCACGCTTGGGTGTAAAGCTGGTGGCTTCGCACACCCTGACTGGCGCTGGGAGCGGAGTGGAAAGGATGAGCCAGGGGAAAAGGTCAGGAAAGCTGCTGAGCCCGCGTGGGGTGACTGTGAGAGGAACAAATCCCTGCTGTCTCCAGAGCTGAACAAAATCCTGCCCAGCAGCTGGCAATGCTGAGGTCCCCATCGCCCTCCCAGACCCGTTCAGGGTCCAGCAAATGGCATCAAATTGTCTGGAGATGCTCTGCTGTTTGCAGGCCCCTTCATGGGATGGAGCCAGTGGACTAAGGGACGAGGTGATACCCCAGACCACAGTCCAGCTTCTGTGAGACGGAGGGAGAAGAGAGATCCCTGCACTAATGGGCTTGGTTCCCACAGTCC